TTGCATTTCGAACTACTAGGTTGGCAGAAGCAGGGACAAGTAACGGGAGCTCACTCCATTATGCGGCACTAGGGATTTGAACCGCTGAACAGCTGATCTTTCTGATTGACAAGCTCAGCATCTTAGCCACTGACCCCAACCCCGTCTCAGAATATTTAGCTCATATTTATTATAAATAGGTAAAACAATAGTTGGAAATGCAATTACATTTACAAATTAGATTACAAAAGATTTCAAAAATACATAATCACAATATTTTTTTACAAATGTTTCCTATTTGGACCGACATATATATATGGATATTTTTTTTAAAAAAAAACTTACTTACCAGATATTTATTTGAATCATTTACGTTTATTTTTGGAAAGTGTTCTTTTATGACCATATCTAGCAGCATCCTGTCCCACAAAGTAAAGGTTTCTTTTATCAAAGAAGAATTTGAAACATTCCTTAAGTAAATATTTAAACTAAACCCTATTTGTTGCTAAGAAGGCTAAACTGAATTGAAGAAAAACTATTGTATTGAATCTTTCAGAAAGGAATTTTAGCTCTGCTTACATGTAAGACAATATTGATTTTAATCATTGCTTACTGGCAAACTAATAATAAAGTAAGATTTACAAAAAACAGAAATGACACTATCTACCCAAAGGAGGAAAAGAAACTCCAAAAATCTTATTATGCAAACATAACTCTAAGTAGCTCATCAGGAAAGCTGGAATCAGATTTTATATATAAATCTGTAGTAGTATTTATTTATATCTCATATTTCTTAATTGCTCATCTTCTTCGGATTCTCTATAATTTAAGAAAATTTGGTCAATGTCAAAGGAAAAGGTTATTGCTTTTCCTTTCAAATTAGCAGCTGTTATTTCAGATCTATATCCTCCAGTACTTAGAAATTCTATGCACTTGTAAGGAAAATATGCCCAGCTCCAGAGATATTGAATAAAAATGCATTGAAATAATATTTTGAGAAGTTATCACAGAATAATGCTAAACGCAAAGCAATATAAATAAATAAAAAACAAATATACATATTTCTTAAAATGTACCCTAAATTAAACTAAATTAAACTGATATTGTACTTTTTGTTGTGAGAAACAAATTCGATATCTGTTCAGAAATACCTTAATACAGAATGATGTACCACCGACAAATTCCAACAACAATTAAAAATAAAGAAATATCATTTTCATTGGCAAAAAATCTTGTAAGATTGTCAAAGTTTGTAAGAGATTTTAATAAGGAGATGGCTGCTAGGGTGGCTTGAAAATTAACAGCAATTTTCTTATTTTCCTTTTTAATTATTTATGGCTGTGATGGCAAACCTATGGCATGCGTGCCAGAGGCACCACGCAGAGCCCTCTCTGCGGGCATGCATGCTGTTGCCAGCTGCTCTTCTGGTTTCTGATGCACACATGCATACCAGCCAGCTGGTCTTTGGCTTTATGGTGCTCCGGCGTGCACATACCCTTATGCGTGCCTTTGCATGTTCCAGTTTGGGCACTCGGTGCCGAAAAGGTGATGACTGATTTATACATTACTTTTGGGGGGGTGGCATGTTAAAATGGGCCAGGTAACACATACGGCACCACAATCCAAGCCTCACCCATTTTTATGTCCATCATCAATGTCCCATGTAAGTACAAAGGGACTAACTGCCATACTACATTTTATTGGTTTTGCCACCATTTTCCATATTGGTCATTACTATAATGTACTAATGGGGAACTGCAAATCTGTTCAAATGCATGGTAATTCACTTGGCTAAATATATGGAAAAAGCAAGTAATTCTTTCATTTTTAAAGCTTTTCCAGGATCCAAAGAAGCCATGCAGAAGACTCAGGATCCACATTTTGAAACTTCTTGCATCTTACTGAATGCCAATGTAGAATCTCTGTTGTACTTTCCAGATAATACAGTTTGCATTTGTTTCTATTGAACCAGCTATTCTATTGTCTGGCTACAGAAATGAAAATCTTGAATGAAGGGTTTAAGGCTAACCTTAATAAATCCAGTTCTCCAGAATGAGCTAGTATTTCCAATGATCCTATTCGAAACCATGATTTTGCAACACGTAACACAATTGCACCTGCAAATAAATATATCTACAAGTTAATGAATTTCAAAATTGTCCTTCACCTACTTCCTTATGAATCCATAACTTCTTAGCATGAAGGTTTGCTCTATGGTGTGAGAAGAATTTTACACAGTAGAATCAGAGGTGAGATTAAAAAAAAATTACTACTTGTTCTGTGGGCGTTGCTGGTATGGCATGGCTTGGTGGGCATGCCAGGGGAAGGTTACTGGAAAATCCCCATTTCCTCCCAATCAACTGGGACTAGGGAGGCAGAGAATAGATGGAGGCGGGGCCAGTCAGAGGTGGTATTTACTGGTTCACTGAACTACTCAAAATTTCTGCTACTGGTTCTCCAGAACTGGTCAGAACCTGCTGAATACCATCTCTGAGTAGAATATATAAGAGAAAGGGTTCCCTTAATGCGGGGATGTCAAACTCAAGGCCTGGGGGGGGGGGGCAGATCCAGCCTGCAGGGTGTTTAGATACGGCTTGCAGGGCCACCCTGGAAACAGCAAAGGACCAGTCCAGAATGCCTCTGCCAGAAAACATGGAACTCGGGGAGGGGGGTGCAGACAGCCCTCCTGAACTCCATTTTTTGCTGGCAGAGGGTTGCAGGAAGCTGTAGCCGCCGAAAACAGAATTTGGGAGCCCATTTTTGCTGGTGGGGCACTCGGACCACCACAGGCAATCCCAACACGAGTGACATTGAACTGACCTGGCCACCAAGACCCCTCAAGGTCAAACACAACCCTGATGTGGCCCTTAATGAAATTGAGTTTGACACCCCTGCCTTAATGGATAGAAAGAGACTTCTTGAACTAAGAAATGTTTTTTCAAAACACTAGTTTATCAGACTAATAAAAGCTGAGCATTACAATGGAGAAATCTGATGTCCATTTCTGGAAAAACCAAAGGGGAAATGATCTAATTGAAAGGAATTTAGTCAAATGAGTAGCTTGCTAAGGACTATTAGTCTTAATGCTGTGAGGCAATAAACTATTTCTAATTAATGACTGGAACTATTTGAAAGGTGTTTTAGGTAATACTTAGAAAAGTAGGGTTTTTTTTAAAAAAAAAGGAAACCTGAAGAAAAATTCTCCAGGTACATGCAGTATTGAATGAATAAATCAAGATGTTTCAAGATACCATAATTTGTATTTGTATTTTATTGGTCTTGTATGCCGCCCACTCCCGAAGGACTCCGGGTGGCTTACAATAAACAAAGGAAGGGGATAAATAGACAAATAGACAAACAACTATTTAAAATACACAACATTCATAGTTCCCGTGGGGCTGGCTATTTCAACAGCCCCCCAGCCTGCCAGAGCAGCCATAATAAAATGCAAAACATAAAATGCAAAAACTAAAGATGACCACAGATTATGATGAGTCAAATTATGTTCATTTCAGCATATAAGAGAAAAGAGAGGAAAGTAATGTCCTTAAAGGGAAATGTTCTGCATCTGAAATGAGGCACCGTTCTTCCAGTTGTAAGATAGCTGCTGAGTAGCAGATCATTTATCCACAGCCCATAATCCAGTCAAAAGCAGAACTAATGCATAGGTGCACATCAACAGATTAGAAAACAGGTGATCTGAGAAGATTTAACGATAACCTTGTCAAAGAAGGATGAAAAAAATACCTCTTTCTTTCTTAATATTCCCATTGTAGAACTGATCTCTCCAAACATAGTCATCACTTACAACTAAGCTGTGGAAACAGTGGAAATAAGGAATTAGTACAAGGCAGACAGAGAGACATTCAGAATCCTGTTGGACAAAGTGAATTCATACTATATCTTAAGGTGGGAAAAGAAAGATAAATAAAACAAAACACAGATTAATAAATCCGATCTCACAAGCAATGGGTCTAAAAGTCTGAGGAGGACCCATACAATTGTCAAACAAGTAGGATGTAATCCATAATGGTCTTCAACTCTTGGCAAAGTTATTTGTCTGAGGTTCAACTAGACTTTATACAGCCTTGCTGCAATACAGATGTAAGAGAGAAGCCTAGCTATGGAAGAACCTCTACATGGCCTCAGCAGAGTAAGACCTAGTTAATTCTTAGATGGCAAAACCACCAGGAAATCACTTGACTCTGAGATAGACTAGAACAGTGTTGGCGAACCTTTTTGGCACCAAGTGCCAAAATGGGAGTGCATGCACACATTCGCACATGCATGTGCCAGAAACTGGTAGGGCAGCCGTCCAGTGCGCATGCGCACACCAGAAGATGATCTTCCGGTTTCTGGTACATGCATGTACACCGACGACCTGGTCGTCCAGTTTTTGCCACCATATGGCCAGTGAGCATGTCGGAAAGCAGAAGTTTATCTTGCCGGCGGGTGCATGCACACAGGGTGGATGCTCTTCCGGTTTCCAGTGCTCTCGCGTGCATGAAGACAAGCTGGCTGGTGTGCCGGAAACCCAGAAGAGCAACGGGAGACGGCTTGTGTGCCCAGAGAGATGGCTCTGCATGCCATTTCCAGCACTCATGCCATAGGTTCACCATCATGGGACTAGGAAATTAACATACGTATTGGGAAACCTGATTAATTTGTTAGGTTTATGTCATGCAAATATGGGTCAAGAGTTCTCTGCTATTTTACAGTTTTCTGCTGCACTAAGGGGCCCAATGTCATTGCTTGGTTCTTAAAAGAACTGAAGCATACAGTTCTCTAAATTTCCCTAAAATTTCTCTAAAAATTCCAATTGTGGAAATTTTTTACTTCATTTTTATTATTCTTAATTGTATTTTTATTTATTTTTAACCTTAAATAACCTTCTACTGGGTCTGCAAATAGTTGTGGTAGGATTGCATCCTTCTGCTCAATGCAGATAAAGTATAATAAAGAAAATCAAACAATGAATCAGCGAACACCTAGAAGTAAACCAAGTAATAGCCAAAAGCCAACATCGGTTTGTCAAAAACAGATCAGGCCAGACTAATCTTATTGCATTCTTTGACAAAGGGACAAAATTAGTGGACCAGAGGAATGTCGTCGATATAATTTACTTGGACTTCAGTAAGGCATTTGCTAAAGTAGACCTACTTTATAACCTACTACTAGATACAATAGAAAAATGTGGGTTAGACAGCATTACCACCAGATGGATTTGTAACTAGCTGACCAACCAAACTCAATGTGTAGTCCTCAATGGAACTGCATCTACACAGAAGTATGCAGTGGAGTACCCCAAGGCTCTGTTTTAGGCTTAGTACTCTTCAACATCTTCATCAATGATTTGGATGAGGGGATAAATGGGGAGCTCATCAAATTTGCAGATGATACCAAGCTGGCAGGAATAGCCAACACTCAGAAGACAGGCTTAAGATACAGAAGGATCATGACAAACTTGAACATTGGGCACTATCTAACAAAATAAAATTCAATGGTGAAAAAGTAAGGTTTTGCGTTTAGGCAAGGAAAATGAAATGCATAGGTACAGTATAGATGGTACCTTCCTCAATAGTAGTAACTGTGAAAGGGATTTTGGAGTCCTAGTGGACAACCATTTAAATATGAGCTAGCAGTGTGCAGCAGCTGCCAAAAAGCCAACACAGTTCTAGACTGCATAAACAGAAGGATAGAATCAAGACCACATGAAGTGTTAATACCACTTTATAATGCCTTGGTAAGACCACATTTGGAATACTGCATCCAGTTTTGGTCACCATGATGTACAAAAGGTGTGGAGTCTCTAGAAAGTGTGCAGAGAAGAGCAACAAAGATGATTAGGTGACTGGAGGCTAAAACATATGAAGAATGGTTGCAGGAACTGGGTATGTCTAGTTTAAGGAAAAGAAGGACTAGGGGAGACATGATAGCAGTGTTCCAATATCTCAGGGGTTGCCACAAAGAAGAGGGAGTCAAACTATTCTCCAAGGCACCTGAGAACAAGAAGCAATGAGTGGAAACTAATTAAGGAGAGAAGCAACTTAGAACTGAGGAGAAATTTCCTGACAGTAGAACAATTAATCAGTGGAACAGCTTGCCTCCAGAAGTTGTGAATGCTCCAACACTGGAAGTTTTTAAGAAGATGTTGGGTATCCATTTGTCTGAAGTGATGTAGGGTTTCCTGTCTAGGCAGGGGGTTGGACTAGAAGACCTCCAAGGTCCCTTCAAACTCTGTTATTCTATTCTATTTTTATATAAAGTTCTTTATTTTTTGTTACAAATTTTAAAACCTCTTTACAAAGTGTCCGGGTTTTCTCCCCTTTTTATATTCTCCCTTATACATACTGTAATTATTTTATTCTATTCTATAAACCTGATAAAATACCTAGCTGCCCTGCTTGTAGGTATTCCAAGGTAATGCATGGCTTCACTTCCCAAAAATTCTCGTACAGAAGACCGAAGCACAGCTCTGCCATCTCCTCTCCTGTAGAAAAATCCCCCCGAGAAACATAGATATTATTATTATTATTTTGACACTGGAAAGAAAAAATACTTAGCAAATCCTTGCACTAGTTAATCTGATTGGCACAGTTCATTATCTGTGGCTATTGCACCTGTCCAAATATTATTGACAGCTGAAATAAATTAAATATGTACTAACATATTTAAATATGGATTTATTGTAGAGAAGCAAAGATTGTTTTGTTGAGAGGGACATACAATTCTTCTTAAAAATATGGATCAACCAAGAAACAGAATGGAAATAAAGGTAACATTGGAATTTATATTGGGCTGACTCTAACACTGAGTCATATTCTTTCAGATGGGAATTTTCTAACATTTCTGGAGATGCCAAGGATTGGACCTGTGGCTTTTGACATGCAAAATATGTGCTCAATCAATGAATGACAATCAAACATAATATGCCAAACTGAGAAACCTATTTTTTTCTGATACAATGCTAGAAAGGGCAATGTATAGGTGGCTATGCTTCACTAGAAAGCAGAACTAATAAATCACACTGCTAAAAATCCTCAAGTGAGCATTGCACATAATTTAGTTCACATCACAAACTGTAAATAGAAACAATATAGTATATATATAGTATAATATATAACAATATAGTTGTGTAGATACAACATTGGGGCTGTCAAACTCGCGGCCCACAGGCCAGATGCGTCGCACACTGACCACACCCATGCCCAGTTTAGCAAAGGGGGGAAAGTTGTGATACATCACTTGACGATGCCATGAAGATGCAAGTTTGACACCCCTGTACTAAATATTCATTGTGACACTCTATGTAGTCAAAACGTGGACTCTGAAGAAAGTAAAATACAAAGAGTATTTTGGACTCTGGGATTGGAGAAGACACCTAAGAATGCTGTGTACAGTCAAGAAAACGAACAAATGGATCATCAAACAAATCAACCCAGATTTCTTGTTCAAGGCACAAATAATAAATTATCCCACTTCAGACATATTACATGTGAAGACGTAACTCTGTGGCAAATATTACAGATAATCCTCAACGTACAATCACAATTGAGCCCAAATTTGCTAAGTGAGAAATTTGTTAATTGAGTTTTGCCCCATTTTACAACTTTTCTTTCCATATTTGTTAAGTGTATCATTACAGTTGTTAAGTTAGTAACATAGTTGTTAAATGAATCTAGCTTCCCCATTGACTTTGCTTGTCAGAAGGTTGCAAAAGAGGATCATGTGATTATCCAACATGAACCCCCTGAATGTAAATCACATGACCATAGGGAAGCTAAGATGGTCATAAATATGAAAAATGGTCATAAGCCACATTTTTCAGTACCATTGTAACTTCAGTACCATTGTCACTAAATGAACTGTTGTAAGTGGAGGACTACCTGTATAATGCTGGGAAAGGTGGTAGGAAAGAGAAGAAGGCAGCCAAGAGCAAAGTGGTTGGACTCACTTATAATGGGGCATTATTGGAGGTGCTGGGGGAGCAGATTAGAGACAGATCATTATGGACAACATCTATGTTGTGGCTAAGAGTCATCAATGACTTGATACCACTCAATCAATCAATCAATCAATCAATCAAATACTACATAATTTATATTTGTGGGGTTTTTGGAATAGAGGTTTATCCCATTTAGTCAGGGATCCACCTTGGCATTTCTATATTAAAATATGTCTTGGTTATTTTAATCTTGATCTTTTTATATGTGTACTTTTAAATAGTATACAATTCTATAGTATTTTATAATCCCAAACTGAAAAAAGGAAAGATTCATCTACAAACAGATTGGTTTTCTGGGTGATCCTTAATGGTAAGTTATTGAAGTAAAAAGTTTCTTAATGTAAAGAATAGATCTAAAAACTGGGTGTGTTTAGTCTAAAGGAAAAAGGCAGAGGATAGACATGATAAAGGTAAAAGTTCTGCACATATGTGTTAGTCGTTTCCGACTCTAGGGGGCAGTGCTCATCTCCGTTTCAAAGCCAAAGAGCCACTGCTGTCCGAAGATGTCTCCGTGATCATGTGGCCAGCATGACTCAACGCCAACGGTACACGGAACGCTTTTACCTTCCCACCAAAGGTGGTTCCTATTTTTTTCTACTTGCATTTTTACATGCTTTCGAACAACTAGGTTGGCAGAAGCTGGGACAAGTAACAGGAGCTCACTCCGTTACGTGGCACTAGGGATTCGAACCATCGAACCGTCGACCTTTCTGATCGACAAGCTCAGCATCTTAGCCACTGAGCCACGCGTCCCTTAAAAAAGACATGATAAAAGATTTCAAAATCTCAAAAAAGAAAAAGATGCACATTTATGCTCTTTTGAGGGTAGAACATGAACTAAAAGGTGGAAGCCTTGCCAGGGAAGATTCAACCTTGAGATAAGGAGGCATTTCTGGACCCTGAAAAATATAAACTGAATGGCGTGCCTCCTTGAGTAATAAGAGCTCCCTGGCCAAGGTTGGATAGCCATTCTCGGTTCACCCACGTAACACCTATCCTCCGCGAGCTGCACTGGCTACCTGTTGATCTCTGGGTGCGCTTCAAGGTGCTACTTATCACCTATAAATC